AAGGCCTACTCGTCTATCACAAAAAGTAAGATGATCATTTACATAGCATATTTTTCATTTTTATGAATGCTATGTATGATTTTCAATGACAAAAAATGAAAACATAATTAATTTTAGATTAGAGAAAAGGATGAAAATATAGCAGCAAATATGGAACAATATGGAAAGAGTTCTCATTATCTTGACGTAGTGGTATCAGATTTTTCTTATCCTTTATGGAGATCAAATATGTTTATTGATGCTATTATAACTGATCGTAAGTAAACTAATTAAAAAATCATATAAGAATAACTTATATTTTTTACAAAAGTTCATGATTTAATTTCATTATTTTTGATGGTAGCACCTTATGGTATTAGAGAATCAACTGAACGCATAGGAACAATGAAAGCCAATCCTATTATCGAGGAACATCAAGTATCGACTCACATTCCTTCCAAAGTCGAATATGGCTTACCACAAATTTTTCGAGATTTATTAAACTTTGCATCTAAACATTTGAAAGTTACTGGCAGATTAGTATGCTGGTATCCAATATTTAGGTAATTTTCTTTATAACGTTGAAGTTAATTATTTGTTTTTAATACTTTGTTTACTTTTGCAGAGATCATTATTCCACAAATCAATTACCTAAACATCCTTGTTTAAAATTAATAGCCAATTCGGAACAAGTTCTTAGTAATTACACCAGTCGTAGATTATTAACTTATGAAAAAGTTAAAGAACCACAAGTAAATTATTTTCCCTATTAAATTCTTTTGTAATAATTTAATGAATCTATAAAATGAATCTATCTTAAAATGATTTTCTTTTATAGGAAACCGATGATATTAACTCTACGTGTTTAACTGACTTCAGAGAAAAGTATTTTGCATTGAGAGATGAAACACGTAAAGAAAGGAGAATGAAAAGAGCTACAGAAAGGGCTAAGAGAAAAGAAGATTGGGAGAAAAGTAATGGTGAAAGTATGGAAAGATGACTGAACAATGATTTTTTTTTTGTCTATCGATAAATACTTCAATAGCATCTACATTGTTGTTATTATCGATATAATTTAATTTTTCATCTAAAATAAAAAAAAGAAAAAGCACAAGATATATTCGTATAATTAATATGCATTATATTTGAAATGTTTCATTTAATTTTATTATTATTTTTCTTACTCTTATTAAAGTATATATTTATTTAAAATCTCCAAAAACCACATATACAACTACACTCTCGTGTACCACAAAATTTACTTTTTTCAAGAATATTAATGAACAACATTGCAAGTAAAAAGAGATTTATATATAAATATTATTAATTTATCAATCATTAATATTCTTAAAGCAACGTGAATATGACAACATTTAAATCCAACAGATTTCTTTATCTATCGTCTTAACATTTTTCAATTAGACAGTTTTTTTTTATCTTGTATTTCTCTCTTTCAACATTATATTATTTATATTTCACCACTTGGACTATGATTGAATGCACTGAGCTGCATATTAAAATTAATGTTATATATTGCGTGCTTATATTCAACCTGAGTAGGACTTGTGTTTGTTTCTTATTTTTGGACCGTAAAGTATAACACGAGTCTCATGCATTGTTCTAATTTAAGTGGATAATTTGAATTTCTTCATGAAATAAATATAGATTGTGATGAGACTAAGCTTAAGGAATACTAGAAATAGTTGTGTTTCAGTTCTGTGCACTTCTTTCAGTTTTTCATAAACATTGTATTTAAATAATATCGAAAATTAATTATAATATTACATAATAAAATAATAATAATTATTATTTTTTAAGTGCGAATCAAAATGCTAGATAAAATGCATTTTTTTTTTTAAAACGTCTTCAAAAATCTTCAAACTTTCAAATATGAATTATGTGATTCGTATGGATCTTTCAATAGTGTAAATCATTTAAAAAAATGATTGATACTATATAGTATTAATAAACATTGAAAATATGATCATAAATGTTCTTTCCATTGCAAATACGTTTGTGTGCACAGTTATTATTCATTATAGTTTGTTTTTCTTGACTGCATTTCTTTCCGAAAACAACAGTATTTTCCTCTTAAGGATTAATGCATTTACATATATTACAACATTCAAACAAATTTACAAAATCCTAAATCTTGATTTGAAATATGAACATTGACTAAATGCATTTTCAATATCTAAGCTTCAACTTGCAATTGTCCTAATAATCCTTCTATATTTTTAACTTCTTCTTCAGAAACTTTACTTGAATATTGTTTTTCGATTTGATTTGCAGCCCATTCGCTCAACTTTATTGCATCTTTTTTCTTCGATGCTGGACACTTTGGTGATGTAGCAATACTATTTGTTGCCTACAAAAGTAAAGAAAATAAATTAATAATACAATTGAATATTTGACTTTTTGAATATTTTCTCTGCACCTAATCTGCTCTAACTTAAAAATAATACTTACTAACAATAAACCATAAAGTGCTCTGATATTATTTGGATTTAATTTTGCAGCTTGGCAGAAATAAGCTTTTGCCAATTCCATGTTTTCAAAGCCTCCCTAAAATCGTAGAAATAATAAAAACAAAAAGAAGAGAATTGTAACACCTTTTCTTTAAATATTTTAAATAATATAATTTACCTGAGAATACTTTATTTCTGCATATCTTTGATAAATTAAATGACTATGTGGATTATGTAATATTAATTCTTCCATACAAAATGCCGCTTTGGAATATTCGTGTTCTTGTAAATACAAATCGCATAATTCATGCCATGCTTCTTGATCGCTCATAAACCTGCACATGTCAAATTATTTATTTTACTTATAATAATTCAAGATAAAATTAACAAAATATAATTTCAAACGTTACTTACTTTTTTAAATAATCAGTAAGTTCTTTAATTGCTTCAGATATTTTACCTTTAGCTTTTAACAAAGCTACACGTCGTTTTCTAGGAGCTGCATTAGTTTCATCCTTTTTAATAATGCAATCTAAAACTTCTATTGCTTCGTCGTACCTAAAAATACAAATATAAGACTACTGTATTACTAATTATTGCATAAATATTTTTATATACTTGATAGTATAAGATACATACATTTCTGATGCTTCCAAATGCATAGCGTAATATTTATGAACTCTCAAACTACCAGGAAATTCTAACATCAATATTTTTATACAATAATCCGCTAACGATAAACGATAGCAGTCCAAGGCAGCTACACAAACTTGTTCCAGTACTAAGTACTCTACAAAAGATTTCAAATCAAATGTAAAATAAAAAATATGATTATACAGTCAATCAAATATTTTATACTCTTAATAATAAAGTTCAATTCTTACTCTCATTGCCAAGTTGATTGACTTTTCCTGCTAATACATTTTCCCATAAATTGACTACATCTCTACTTTGACGTTCTGAATTTTCTCTCCATGTTCTAAACAAATCTCTAACTTCTGAAATGTAAAGATAAAAAAGAACATTAATATTGCATTCCATTAATTTGCCTATTAATTTTAAAAAGAGGTACTTACCTAACCAAGTTAAATTATCATAGCGACCTTCCATAATGAAAAGTAGGTTAGGAAATAATAAATAATATTAAATAATAAAACTTTGGTGATAATAAAGAGGTTATACACTGTTGACGTTAAATCGCATTAGCATATTGTCAAAAAAATCACAATCAACGATAATTCATTGGTTATTCGTACGCTATTCGAATGATTTAAAGGACAAATTGATTAATATTAAAAAATCCAGCAAAATAAAAAGATCCTACGATATTCGATTATATCGATTTGATATGTCACATAAATTCCTTTTAAAATAGTCAAAATCGATTTTTCCACACAAGCACGATAAATGTTATTTTTTTAATTTCTTTTTAAAATAAATTGACCATTATGATTAATTACAAATCACACGATTCAACACGAAGGAAAATAATACTGCTTATTATCACCAATCTAGTAAAATGGTAATGGGGGGGGGGGAAATTGGTGATATAGATTTATTTTAGATGCGACACACACACTATTGAAATATTTGAAATACAGCGCCCTCATTTCTTTATCAGAACTAAATATATGTGTATTATTTAGCCTAATTTAAATAAAATATATTATATCTAATATTATTTAAATTATCTACAAAAGTATATGAAATAAATCAAAATATTTATACGTATGAAACAGAAAATAATATAATCGATGATCTTTTGAATTTAAAAATTCGCGCTATTTTAATCTGTCAACATGGACGATGATTACTAATAAAGAATGATTTGACACAAAATTGTTTAAATTACTTAACAATATATACTGTAATTTAAAGAATTTAGTATTATTATTTTTATAATAAATTTCAATAATTGTTATATTACATGCTATTATATGTATATATATTGCTTTGTATATATTGATTTAAATATTAGTTTACATTTAAATTTGAAAACTCGCGCCACTTCAGTTTATCAACATGGCCGAAGATTACTAATGAAGAATGATTCAACAAGAAATTGTTTTAATTACATATCAATACACAATAATTTAAAGAGTTCGATGTTACTATAATTATTAATATCAATAATTATTATCTTATATACTATAATATTAATTATATATATATCGGTTTGTATATATTTAAATATGATTAGTTAATCAAAGTGAGGGCGCTGTTAAACAAATAGCTAACACCATTTTCCTGTGCGCCTCTATGCATTCACAATTACCTTTTTGTCATAATAATCTCCAAGGCCGTATACACAAGAATACCATAATTAATATAATAATAATATAAAACAAAAATATTTAATTAGAAAACATTCATATTTCTCATTCTAATATAAATTCTATTGATAATTTGACATTAAACATTTTTTCATTTTTTCCAGAATATACGTTAATAAGAAGAATAATAAAATGAAATGGATTAAGGAGACAGAGAGAATAAAATGTTAATAAAGAAAAATAGTGAAAAGTTGAAAAATAAAGTAAGAAAAAAAGAATATAAAGTGAAATGAGAAGTAAAAGGAAGGATACCAGTCATCGTAAATACGTCCCTGAAGGTTATATGCAGTGTGACCTGTCGGTAGGATAGAAAACAGGTGTTTATAATCGGTAGGTTCCGTCCACCGAGCGAGTAAGGCAGGGCTGTGTCTGTAGTGGGAATCTGCAAGGGGGCGCGCGATGCTCACCAGGCAGACTTCTTGTTGCTCTAATTCCCTGGCGAAATACTACTGTTCGTCGCTGTTTTATGTTGTGTTTTTGGGGGAAATAGTAATGGAGAGTGAAAACATGTCGTTTTGATAATCAATCAGTAAAGATTAAAGGTGAATTTTTGATAAAGTTAACATCGTGGTGGTGGAGGGTCGGGCCGGCTTTGTTCGACCGACTGTGTTAGACCCTACGTGGTACGTGCAGGTGTAATTTAATAAGGAGCAGCGCAGGGGAGGCTTGACGATTTAACAGGGATATCGATTTGTCCGCCGAGTGCTGTGCTGGTAACTCCATCGCAAGACCCAAGAAGAAGGCAGCCATGGACGTCGATATTTTTGGGGCAGAGCTTGCTACAACACCGTGTTGGGTATGTTGCGTCCGAGCGAGTCCAGAGGCCTGATCCAGGGCCCGAGAAATGCGACCCGAGTCGCCCGCCGCCGGCCGAGACTAACGCGGTACGAGATAACTAGACAAGAGAGAAAGAGACAAATCTATATATTTCACGTAATTGCTAAAGCTCATAATTATAAAGCAATTATAAAGCCGGCTTTAACACGATCTCATTATTTTATACTATTACCGATCGAATTAGTCACTTTTTGACGTGACCTGCCGCGTTTTAAGTTTGAAAATTTTCTATCAGTGAAGTACCACGTTAAACACGATGGATATCGGCATTGTTGGTAACCCTACAACGGGGGGTCCATCCAACCCAGGGGGGGCCTTGGCCTGTCCCGTTTGTACTCTTTATTTGCGTGAAGGTATTAGCCTTCAAAGACATTTGGATACACATCCCAAGGAACAGGTCATAGAGGCACTCATTAAAGCAAGCTCTCAGACGCAACAACTTCAATCTTCTATGTCAATACCTTCTGTTACTTCTAGTATACAATCATTACAGAATACACCTCAACAACATACAATACAACAACAACAACAACAACAACAGACTACTGCGCATGTATCCGCTGCACAGTCACCGTACCCCATAGGGCCTATATTTGAATGTCCACCCATTGGTACTATGATGCCTCCTCAATTCGCCTCCTTTAGTTATCAACAATTTGTCAATAATGGGACCATGATGATACCGCAGTACGCTATGGCACCACAGACTAATCAGATGATGCAAATGTTGTATAATCCGTATGGTATGTATCAACAACAACAAATACCTACTGTTCAAATGATCTCTCCGGTTGCAGCCATTCCTAATACCACTAGGATGAGACCTGTGGTCAGTATGTCAGGCGAAACTAATACCAGGACTACCATCACAGTACCTGTCAATAGTTCGGAACCTAAGCAGATTTTACCTGAAATATTGCCGGAACCAGAAGTAGAAAATGAAAATGATCTGCCTGACATTAATTTCTCTGCACCGGCCGAAGTATCCAACAATAATACTTCCATACAACAAGATGGAAATGATAATAATAGAATTCAATTAGAACATAGAACGCAACAAATACAAAATAATACTATTCAGGATCAAAGTAACGTGCAACACGAATACAATTCCATTCCTAGATCTTTAACTATAACTTGTAACATCGAAAATGAAGATGACGACAATGCCGAAAGCGTACTGCCTGATATAGATGAAAGAGAAACAACGCACATGGTTGCTTCTATCGTACAATGTAAATCAACTCATTACGAAGAACAATCAGAAACGCAAAGGTTCGATCAAGAATACAAAGATGATAGTAGTAAACTTGATGTCAATTCTCAAGGTGTACTAGACAGTGCTTTGGATATTCAAGAAGAAAAAATAGAAGAGGATAAATCATTGAACAAGGAAAAAGAAAAAAGCGAAAATGAATCTGTCCCATCTGAAGTTCCTGCTATAGAAACGATTAAAGATATAGTACAACCTGAGGTTGAACAATTGGAACAGTTATTGATCAATATTATGGAATCAGAATTTAATAATTCTACAAGCAAGGAGAATGATGTACAGCAGCAACAGGAAGAAGAAAAAAAGGAAAATTCGTCGATTCACACAGATGAAGAAATAATAACTGCTAATATAATAGATGTTACTCAGAGTTCTGAAAATAATAATGATATTGATGAATGTCAAATAGATATGGAAATAACAGAGGAACCAAAAATATGTGTAGAAGAAAAATCTGACAAAAATTATATTTTATATCATTACAAGGAGAGTTTGTCTGCTCCACCTTCTCCAGCAGTACGAAAGAAATCAACTAGAACGTATTCGGTACGTTCTGAATATGGATCAAATGAATTTCTCAGTGTTTATCCTGCTGGATTTGATGCTACCACGTTGCAAGATGAAGAAGAGGAAGAGGAAGAAGAGAAAAATGTGACAGAAGATAATTTTGACGAAGCAGATATGGAAATAGAAGCAATACCTAGTCCTCATACACCTTTCATGAAATATGGCGAAAGTTCAGATGTTGTTAGATCTCATACTCCATTGTCTGCCATTAGTGGTATATCAGTACTAAGAGTTAGAAAAGATTTAAGTAAACCATGTTCTCCTGCATCTGTACATTCATTTTGTCATATGGATGCAGATAGTTTGAGTCACGATCAGGAAAGTAACGATTTAGGTGAAATTACAATAGAAAAGGATCCTATTAGTTGTCCTCAGATCGAAGAAGAAGTTAAAGTAGATAAATACGAAGAGAACGTATGTGAAAATGTAGAAAAGAAAGGAGATAATTCTAATCACGTTTATCATCATTCTGTAATAACAGAACATGTTAGCCTATTTCCACCAATTCATTCACAACAACCTGTTTTAATACAAGATTCTTATTCGTTACCTAATAACAAAAATCATAGCCTTTTAAATTTATCAGAATCTATTAATCCAACTACAAGCACCGAATCAAAGAATTATTCTAACAAATCAATTATGCAAAAACATTCAATGGAACTTCTTAATATTAATGAAGATGCTCATGCTGGTCCAATGAACGTATTTGAGTTTGATGGACTTCAAATTTTAGTTCCTAGTACATTTATAAGTGAATCATCACAAAAAGCTGTTAGTGCAACGAGCCAGCAATCAATGGCCAGTAGCGAAGGAGGTGCAGGTATCGATGAGGAAGTCAAAAGTGTTAATATGCGAGCTGACGAGACTATGCCACCCAGAGGTGAATTATCAGAACAAGAAAGTAATGGTTGTACAGAACAATCAGCTTGGCAGGTCATTATTTTTCATTATATTTAGATAATTTAATTGTTGTATTGAAATAATTATAATTTGTTTATTCAACAGGTTTATATGGGTCAAGAATCTTCAAGAATGTCAACTTCTTATGATCTAATGGCAAGAGAAAGTTGGGAAGAATCTGAAGGATCGGACAATGAAATTAGTGGTCCATTGTTAGATAGTCGATCTTTAGCAACACATTTTACTTCTAGTTTATTCTTAGATCGTGATAGGAAGACGCCTACCAAAAGGACATTTAAGTGTTCACATTGCCCCGAGGTATTTGACTGTCCTAAAGAACGTAGAGTACATAGTACAATGGTGCACAAAGAATCTGGACCTAGCGGTAGTAGAGATGCAATGGAAGCACCAGAAGTTAAAGATATTAAATTATTAGACGGTCGTATGAATGTGTTTGATGATATTTTTGTACCAGGGTTACACGTGCAACAAATATATCATCAACAACCGTTATTACATCAACTTCAACCGCCTCAACCAGATTTAACAAAAATAGAGACAGATCAGAAAGGTGAAAACTTGACGATTCCTTCTACGGTAGAAGTAACATGTGCATTATGCAATCAACGATTTAGTAGTGAAAAAGCTTTACAATTACATCATAAGAGAATGCATATAGTTGAAGTATCCAAACGTATTCGTGAACAGGCTAAATGCGTAATATGCAACGAAGAATTTCCATCGGTTGTATTGTTTAATGCTCATTTAAAAATACATCCGTTAGAATGCGGACAATGCGGCAAATACTTTTATAGAAAACAGAATTATAAGTTACACATGAAACGACATTTAGGAATCAAGCCGTTCCCTTGTTCGCTATGTGATAAGGCATTTTTAACTAAACAAAAATTAGATGAACATACCAATGGACATACAGGTAATGCCCCTGTTAAATGTAATTTGTGTAATGAAACATTTCGTAGATATTCCAATTTAACACAGCACAAGAATAGACATCATCTTAATATTAAAAAAAAATTAAAAGACTACATATGTCAATGTGGTGAGATATTCCATACGAAGAAAAAATTAGCTTGGCATAAAGAGACGCACGATGAGAAACCTAAAGCATGCACATACTGTAATGAAAGATTTATACATATGGCTAGTTTAACTCGTCACATGCGTCGTGCTCACAATAGGAGATTTGTTCCTGATGCTCAAAGAGAAAATGAAAACGTCGAGTGTCCAATATGTAAATGTATTTATTTGAGATCATCCTTAGCTGTTCACATGCGTGTCCATAATGGTGAAAAACCGTACGAATGTCAGGTATGTTCCAAGGCTTTTAGTACCAAATGGAATTTACAATTGCACAAGTGGACTCATGCAGCTCGTAGCACTAAACCATTCAAGTGCAACCAGTGTAGCGCTGCATTTTATCGACACAGTGATTATACAGCTCATATGAATTCTCATCGAAACGTACGTCCATATACGTGTAATTACTGTGGAGCTCAGTTCATTAGAAAATATAATTGTTTAAGACACGTCAAAGAACATGAGGAAAACAAGGCATACACGTGTGACGTTTGCAATAAAACTTTCCATAGGTCATATTATCTAAAAGAACATTTAAGAGTGCATTCAGGAGCAAGACCTTACACGTGTCACATTTGTGGTAAATCAAGTGGTACGAAGTCTAATCACAATAAACACGTAAGAATTCATCATGCCCGAGAACCTGTAAATACTGAAAACTAATGAATCTTAGATTTTCATTAAGTATTATAACGGTATCAACTAGTCTGTGACGCTGGATCTATTTTAATCGGATTCAATTATTGATTAGAACAATTACAAATTGTTTCAATGAAAAAAAAAAAAAAAGACAAAAATGAAGAGAACAAACTGATAATATTCAATTTTAAATCATTTATAATGAACCAAATCTATTTTATGACGATCAAGATTTTTTATTAGATTTTATATGAAATGATAATATTATTATTTTATTCGTGAATGTCTTTTTAAAATACAAATTTTTATTATATAACAATTTTATTTTATCAAGAACGATTAAAAAGATCTAGCGAATTCAGACTCTAACTATATATAATAGGATAAAGAAATTTTGTTTGAAAAAGAAAAAAAAAAGAAAATGATGAAGAAGAAGAAAAAAAAAGATCACTTCAGACTCTCATAATATATATATATATATATATATATAAATATATATAATAGGATATAAAGAAGATTGTTTTCTGAAATCAGAAAGAAAAGAAAAAAAAAAAGAAAGATTGAACTAATAATTGTGTCTCAAAGCCTCAAGTAGTTCCTTTTAATGAAAGAAAAGGCTACAGATGAATCGCGTTTGCCAACTAATAGTTATTATCTATTTCATAAAAAAATACAATTAACCGATAATTAATTATTACGTAAAAAAAAAAAAAAAACAATACAAGAATTAACAAAACAAATAATTAAACTCTTTTACGTGTCGATCGTTGTAAGTAATTTTTTTACGATGACTATTTTTCATGAAAGTGTGCATGTTGAAGAAGTTTGCACATCGTCGTCGGTGGGCCCTCCCCCCAATTGTAATAAGTGAGACAGATAGCCCAGCTTTTAATAATTGCGCTCTCTGTTCATTGCGCAAATATAAGGGCTTATTAGTTAACTATCATTAAACAGACTATCATATACGATATATATGAATCTTAGTTGTTATTCTTCTATATTTATATATTTTGCAACATATAAAGGTGATTTTTTTATTGGTAACTCTAATTCCAAGACTGATCGATGTTGGTTCTTTGTATTACTCTCTGATATTACAAATATTATTCAATTATAATTATACATATATATATATTTATGTATATATATATAATTATAAATATTTAATCTAATGTATAATTACAATATTGTATATCTCTCCAATTTTTCTGACCCCTCAGAGTTCAATATATATTTCAAATCATTTTCATAATAGAATTATTATATATTGCTCTGTGAATCTTTAAATGATTTTAATCATTTCTATCAAAGAGAAAAAGAAGAGAGAAAGAAAGAGAGTAATACACAGCAAAGAAATTCCAAGTTATTTGATGAATACATATATCAAACATTATAAGAATAAACAAAATAGATATTGTCAAATCTATTCGTTCTTAATTTCTACTGTTAATTGCACTGCCAATTGAATAGTGCATATTGTCATTGTACGATGTTATCAAAGTAACGAAAACTAACAGAATATGGAATTCAAAATTTGATATATTATGTATTATGTTACGTTGGATATATATAGATATATATATATAAACTTTATTAAATAAATTATTATTATTATCATTAATAATAATGGTGACCTCAGATTAGAAAAAAAAAGATTTTTAAATGCAAGAAGAGCATAATTATGCATAAATTTAATTCATAAATGTTAGTTTATGTTATTATTCAATTCTTATTCGATTATTTTTTGTTATTTCAATTGATTGCACATGTAATTTTGAATGTTATTAAATGTTTAGGTATATCAAAATTCGATTCGACATGCTTAAATATGTGATTTTATACTTGTACAGGCGAAATAATAATAATTATGAAAAAAAAGGAAAAAAAAAGAGATCTTTTAAAAACTATTATATGTACAAATATAATATATGAATAATTGACAATTTCAGGCGGTATGTATAAAAAGAAAAAAAAAAGGAACAAAAAAATAAAATAAAAGTAACCCACCTGTACAACACAACCAACATCGACGTCCAAGTGTGCAATTGTTTAGTTAAAATATGTATTCCCAAACGAATACTACATGTATATAATGTAAATATGTATATTAATTCTATTTTATAGTAGGGCCAATTGAATAATATCGTAATTTGTTCACGGATAAAAGCGTGAACATAAAAATAGACTAATCATTATCGTAAAACAAAAAAAAAAAAAAATAATAAATCAGCATGTGTATACCTTAATAAAAGTGATGTATATTGAGGTACTTTTTTAAATAAGTTTTTCTTTATGTTTTGTTTTTTTTTTTATTTTTGTTTTCTTTTCTTGTTCTTTTTTCATTTTTTTTCACTAATCAATATGTTAGATATACATATATCCCATGTTTACATTTGAAAATATAATTATAAGTTTAAAAAAAAAAGTAATCGTGATGTTGACATTGTTCATAATTTTTCACAACGGTTTAAACAAATAAATAAAAAAAAAATACAAGACACCGTTAGATTTTAAGAAGAAAATTGATGATCTCATGTTTCGCTATTATATTTTCATGAACGTCTACAATAATAATGCAATAAAGCTAAATATTAATTGTGTAATATAATTTTGTTTCAAAAAAAAAAAAAATAAGCCAACATTATCATATTTTCAAATTATTCACACGGAAATTAAATAGAATTGTTTAATTTAATTTAATAACTTCTATGTGTGTGCTGAACAAATCATATTTTATAAGTGCGTTATGACTATATAATATCAAATTATTATTTACATAGATGTTTAAACATGAGTACCTTTTATTTTTATTATTTTGATATAAATATTTCTTTAACTTTATTATACTTTTATATACTTTAATATTTATCAGATCTAATAATAATTAATGTCGTTTTTAAAGGTTATGTTGTATAAATTATTATGGAACAACTTAACAAACATGTTAAATAAAAATGACATTGATATTATTACACTAAATTTAATTTAATTTAATATTATATTTTAAAAAGGTTTATAAAGAAATCAAAAAGTTAAGTTAGATTATGTTAATAATAATTATTTGTATGGATAAAAGAAATAATTAAGGTATGTTTTATTTTTTATCTTTTGAATTTTTCTTTTCAAATAAAATTCAAATCTACTGCCATTACAAAATTTGACTCTTGTGGTAATGGCGCGAAAATCAATTTCAAAATAGTGACATACTAACCAGCAAGTTTCCAATCTATTAGGTTAGGCTAATAATGGTCATTGTTAGACCTAACCTAAAATGCTTGTATCATCTTAAAGAAATGCTTTTCTACTTTTTTTTTTATAAATAATTAAAATATTATAAATTAAACGATAAAAATAATTTTTAAAAAATGACAACAAAAAGGAAACCTGATACACAAGTACCGGCAGAGGAAAGTGATTTACTTTCAATTCGGCCACTTGGTGCTGGCCAAGAGGTTGGGAGATCATGTATTATGTTGGAATTTAAAGGGAAAAAAATAATGTTGGATTGTGGTATACATCCAGGATTATCAGGTATGGACGCTCTACCATTTGTAGATTTAGTAGAAGCAGATGAAATAGATCTATTATTGATCTCCCATTTTCATTTGGATCATTGCGGTGCATTACCATGGTTTTTACAAAAAACAAGTTTTAAGGGACGTTGCTTCATGACACATGCAACTAAAGCGATTTATCGTTGGCTTTTATCTGACTATATCAAAGTTAGTAACATTGCTACTGAACAAATGTTGTACACCGAATCTGATTTAGAAACTAGTATGGATAAAATAGAAACTATTAATTTTCATGAAGAAAAAGATGTCTTTGGTATAAAGTTTTGGGCATACAATGCTGGACACGTATTAGGAGCTGCTATGTTTATGATTGAAATAGCTGGTGTCAAAATTTTATATACTGGAGATTTTAGTCGTCAAGAGGACAGGCATTTAATGGCTGCAGAAATACCAAACATTCATCCAGATGTATTGATAACTGAGTCTACCTATGGAACACATATTCATGAGAAGAGAGAAGACAGAGAAGGAAGATTTACTAATCTAGTTCATGAAATAGTCAATCGTGGTGGTAGATGTTTAATACCAGTCTTTGCATTAGGAAGAGCACAAGAACTTCTTCTTATTTTGGATGAATATTGGAGTCAACATCCTGAATTACATGAAATTCCAATTTATTATGCATCTTCTTTGGCCAAAAAATGTATGGCTGTTTATCAAACATACGTTAATGCAATGAACGATAAAATTAGACGACAGATTGCCATCAATAATCCTTTTGTATTCAAACACATTTCTAATTTAAAGGGTATCGACCATTTTGAAGATATTGGACCATGCGTAGTTATGGCATCTCCTGGTATGATGCAAAGTGGTTTGTCAAGAGAATTATTTGAATCTTGGTGTATTGATGCTAAAAATGGTGTTATAATAGCTGGTTATTGTGTAGAGGGTACACTAGCTAAAACTATTTTATCAGAACCAGAAGAAATTACAACAATGTCTGGACAAAAATTACAATTAAAAATGTCTGTAGATTACATATCATTTTCTGCTCATACAGATTATCAACAAACATCAGAATTTATAAGAATTTTAAAACCACCACATGTAGTACTTGTACATGGTGAACAGAATGAAATGGGAAGATTAAAGGCTGCTTTGCAACGAGAATATGAAGATGATCCAAACACTACTATGGAAATTCATAATCCTAGAAATACAGTTGCAGTAGAGTTATATTTCAGAGGAGAAAAAACTGCTAAAGTTATGGGAACGTTGGCAATGGAAACACCTAATCCAGGACAAAAATTATCCGGTGTTTTGGTCAAACGTAATTTTAATTATCATATGTTAGCTCCTTGTGATTTATCAAAGTATACAGATATGAGTATGAGTCAAGTTATCCAAAGACAAAGTGTTTATTTCTCATCTTCGTTACCTGTATTAAAACATCTCTTAACACAAATAGCTGGTACTTTGGAAGTCATAGATGATAAAAAATTAAGGGTCTTTAAAAACATTGATGTAACCATTGATGGGAAAATTGTTACAATGGAATGGGTAGCAACACCAGTTAATGACATGTATGCTGACTCTGTTTTGACTGCAATATTGCAAGCTGAGATGATGGAACAACCTCCTAAAATGTTACCTGCACCAACTAAAATGGATAGGATGCATTTCAAAGAATGTCTTATTGAAATGTTACAGGAAATGTTTGGTGAAGACTCTGTTCCTAAAATTTTCAAAGGAGAAAAGTTATATGTAACTGTTGATGGTAAAAAAGCCCATATAGATTTACTAAATTTAGAAGTTACCAGCAAAGATGATGAAACTTTTCAACAAATAGTACAAACAGCTGTAATGAAGTTACATCAATCGTTAGCACCACCATGCGATACGATATAATTAAAATTACGTTTGAGATATTTTTATATTCTCTGTCATCACAGCAAATATATTTTATGAAATATGGTTTATTTCAATTTTGATATATTAAATTATATATAAAATATTTTGATTACATTTTCATCAATTTCTAGTGTATAACAATGCGATATATAATATTTTTTTATATTCCATACATTATTCATGCTGTAAATATGATTTTCAATTTCATGATTAAATAAAATAATTTTTTCATATATAATGTGAATATTTATAAATAAATTAAAAATAAAATAAATATTAATAATTGATCTTTTTTTTTTTAAACTTTAGTTATGTAATAAGATTTATCTTATCATATATAAAATCTTATTTTATCTTATTAATTATCACATTGGATAATTATTAATAATTTACCTCTCAGGCACTGCACACTACAATAGTAGCTTTCATTGATATTGATGTATAAAAAATTGTTATAAAAAAATACCGTGGAAATTTCAGTATTAGTTAAAAGATTAAATATGATACTCCTTCAGATCACCCCATGCAGGTCCAACTTTTATTTTTACTGGTAATGGGACCGCAAGTTGACATACTTGTTCCATAGATTCTTTAATTATTAAAGCTACTTTTTGCAAATCCATTATATTTACCTGAAATCAAATGAAAATAATTTGTATTAAGTTTTCTTAAATTAATAATATATATACCTCTTACAGATTATTCTTACCTCATACAATAATTCATCATGAAGTTGTAGTACTAAATAAGCACCTCTTAAATTGTCATCCTTTCGTTGTTTTCTTAATTTCTGTTTAATTCCTATCTTTGGTATGACAATCGCTGAGTTTGGAAATTCGTTTCGTATTCTGTCTTCTATATTAATCATAGCTTGTTTTGCTATGTCTGCTGCAGAACCTTGTACTTTAGTATTAACTGCTTGTCTTTCTGCTTGAGCTAAAATCAATTTTTTAATCTTTATAATATTCTCATAAATGAAACATTTCTTAATTGTCCATAAACTCACCTTTTTCATACAGATTAGTACTTTTTAAACCAGGAAGCATTCTACGTCTTTCCATGAGTGTTGTAATGTATCCATTTTTATGTGCTTCTAAATTAACATTTTTAAGCCATTTGTTTATACCTGGATATGCATTTATGAAAGATTCTAAAAATGTTTTAGCTTCTGTTTCGGTTACTTTTAAATTTTCTGCTAAAGTTTTCACACCCATACCATAAATCATACCATAACATAATTGTTTAGTATTTTGTCGCATATTATCATCGATCTAAACATATAAATAATATTAATGATTGTAGACAATTGTTTTTATGTAACAAAAAAAGCAAATGATTGATACCTGATCTTCCGGTAGATTGTTCCATGTAGCAGCAATATTTTTAAAAATATCGCCTTCCTTGGATAGAATATTACAAAGTATTGGATCTTTAGAAAAATGAGCTAATATTCTTAATTCAAGTTGACAATAATCTGCTGATAATAAAATGTTTCCTTCAATTGGTATGAATGCCATACGAACACTTATTACAAAACTATTATCTTCTGAATTGAAATCTTTGGGTACATTTTGTAAGTTAGGTTCGTGCATAGAAATTCTTCCAGTTAATGTTGAAGTTTCAGAATCTCCATAAATTCTTGAACTATTTTGACCAAGACTTAACAATGGATAAACGATCTATCAACAAATTCCAATCACGTTTAACAAAGTATATAATATTTTTTGAAAAGATATGCGAATCTTGTATCTACCTTGGTTTGAGTTGTGTTTAATTTACGCCAAGAAATAATAAGACTAGAGATTGGATTATTATGTTGTGCTAAAACTGCTTTATTTGTACTTGTTTTTTTACCTTTATATAATCCCAAAATCTATATCGAAAATATATTAATTATAATTTAAATCACACATATGTGAAATAATAAATCAATGATATTTATACGAACCTGACTGACTTCTTTGGATGATGAAAAATTAAATTTACGTCCCGTTAAAGAAAATGCACGTTCTTCCAAAGATGACATTTCAACTTCTATAACTTGTGACAATTCTTGTAAAGATTTTAAATTAATACCAAATCCTGTTAATTCCATACGAGCTAACAGTGTAATAGATCTCATCTCAATTTCTAAAAATATACCCCAATTTTATTATTATTTATTTTTATAATATTAAAAATCAAATAATTTTACCTTTAAATGTATAAACTAATATTGGACAGAGTTCTTCCAATTTGTTTAATAATGTTTCCATAACGTGCCATGTAAGAACAGCTTTAGTGGATGCTTTAAATTCCATTGGTAATTTATTTTTGATGTTTATTTTAGCATCGAAATGTTTCACTATGAAGGATCCTAAAGGAAAATACTCCAACACCTATTAAATATATTTTTCTTTCAAATTTCTTCTTAACACGTTCGCTACCATGCCACGAAAAAAAAAGACATTTCAATCATCGTTTACTGGTAACGAACATGTTTTACATTCTTTTTGGAGAGAAGAGAGAATTAAATTATATTTTACCATCTCGTTCCATTTTTTTTCAGAAATGCTACCATGTAACAACCAATTCGCAGTATAAGGATCTAGAAATCTACAAGTAGCTGCTACTTGGAAACATTGATACAATATTTTATATAACTTCTTGGTTGAAAAACATCTTATATACAATGATGTATTAGAAAGTAATTCTTTAAAGAAATTTATTTGTTCTTTAACCGATACTTTTAAATCTATAACATAAAAAATAAATTAATTTTGTATATAATAAATATAAAATAATTTTATTTGTTACCTTTCATTTCGTTAAATGAAATATAATATGCAATATTTTTTTCCCAAGAAATAGCAGCACCACAAATTTGTTTATCATCAGTGATAAATTGTTCAATTTTTCTTGATCTGTTTTTAACATCGGCAGTAGAATTAATAATTTTATTTCCTATACTGTTACATTCGTTTATGTAAGATTCACAATGTAAAGCCAACGCGATACTTTTATTCTTCATAATTTCACGTTTAAATAAATTAAATGTCGCTTTATCGCTACCAACTTTAACAATATTTAATGTATTCCAATCAATATTTTCATCAATATGTTCTACTTTGTGAGAACATAAATTTATTTGTACGTCTGATTTAATTTGTTGAATGTGAGATGAACTTGTTTTAATAACTGGTATTGATGTTTTACATCCTTTAACTACTTTTGCTTTTTTAATTGGTGTTTCTTCGTCTGAGTTTGATACGATGCTGTCAGAACTGTAATTTGCACCAAGAAGAATGTTTCGTTCTAATAATTCTTTTAATTTTGGTTTAGTTTTATTCATTATTTTATTACTGACAGTAGTTTTTGCAATATTTTTGTTAATACAGGCTGAAGTTCTAGACTTAGGTAATTTATCTTTATAAATTTTAACAGAAGTTTTCTGTGTCTTCGTTAATTTTAATTTTGTTTGAGTTTCTGTTGGAGAAGCCATTATGACATCTGAGTTATTGGAGTTTAATGATATTTTACGATCAAGATTTAAAGTTGTTTCTTTTGCTATCAAAGGTTTTTTATCGGAATGTCTTCGTAAATTGTAGTTATATGATATTTTGTTAACATCTTGTCCTGCAATAAGACTGTAAGATTCTATATCATCTTTTTGGTCATTATTTTCTGATATATTTTTTATACTTTTTATATTGTTGATACTGTTATTTAATAATTCTATGTTTTCTTTATTTAATTCATTAATTTTGTCCATTAATTTAGATTCGTTCCATGAATCATCATTCCATGTTATCATTGCAGTTTTATCTTTTACTTGTGTACCAGAAGAAGAAGGTTTTTGTGATACAATCTTTGCATTTGAATTTGATTCTACCATTGGTAAATTAATTTTGACTTCATGATTTAATAACTTGTTTGAGTTACTCTTCGTACTTGTTTCATTTTTCATTTTATTAGGTGTTATGTTAATGCTTATATACGAAGATAGATGTAAAGTACCTGTAATATTTTCTTCAAGTGCATTGTACAATTGTGTGTCAAGATTTAAACTTTCATCGAATAAACTGGGACTTCTTGAAACAGAACATTTCATCATTTTTTCAGATTCACTTAGATTCTTACTTTTACAATGCATTAATAAATTATTATCATCTGTATTATTTGCTTCTTCAATTCTTTTTTCATCGAAAGTAATTAATGACTCACTGACACGTCTACTTTCAATATCAGTATTTAAATCTTTCGAATAATTCGATTTATTTTCCAAATTTGTATTAATATGTTCTGTAATCTCATTTTGTTTACGCAATGACGAGACATCTACGCCTGAATTAATATAAAAAGAATTATTTTTACTTTTATCTATGACTTCCATTTTTTCTTTTGAAATATTCGTGTCATTTATTTTCTTATTTGTATTATCATTTTCTACAGCAACATCTTTCGATAAATTAGATTGATTATCATTAATAGATGTAGTATCAGCAATCATACTATTATTATGTGACCATGGCATATTTTGTAAACCTAATTCATTCTGTAAAAAATAATCTAAAATAACTAAAAACATTTTATACTTAATATTCATAATTATCATGTTAATTAACCTGAATTAATATTCTAGCTTCTTTAACTAATAAAGTAGCAGCTTCGTGAGGTGTAAGACCATCTTTTCCTGTAACGAATACAGTTCTCATTTTATTTCTAATAATAGCTTCCATTTCATGTTCTCCATCGTGTTCTTTTTCACTGTAAATATATAAATTAATCAATTAATTTGTAACATTGCAAAATTCAATATAATATAATGCATACCTTTCAAATGGTAGGGCTTTATACAATGCTCGTTCAATATCAAGAATATTAGCAACAGCTAAATCTGCTACAGTAGTAATTCCTTGTTTAAATAGACTTCTTGCACGTAATCCATTTAACATTGAAATACGCAACAAATCTAACAATTCTCTACATACTCCAAATTGTAGACGTGCTTTAAATTGTTCTACCAATAACTCCATGCAATCCCAACCAAGTTGTTTACAAAATTGTGTAACCATTCCTAATAAAGATACAAAAATATATTTAGTTAGATATTAAATTTATATAAAAAAAAGTAATACAATGTTACCAGCAAACGTGGAAGCACTTTGTTGTAAACTTTGCAGTACTCCACGACTGCAATTATATTTGTTACAAACTGTATTCAAAGGAATTTCTCGTACCAGATCATGTAAAGCTAACGCCGTGTAAAATCGTTTGTGTATTCTCAGCTAAAAATAAAAATAATTTTGTAAAAATTAACATATACACATACACAGTATTACATATAATGAAATTATATATTTCTTTGAATTAATATCAAATATTTGCTTACTAGTTTGCCTGGTTTTACAATTCCTCTAATAGCTGACATTAAAAAACGTTCTTCTATTCCTATAAGTTGACCAACTCTTCTTTCACTTTCCGATATTGATTTCCATAATTCTAAGAATATCATCCAATCTATTGTCGATATTTGACTACCATCGTTTACTGGAGTTACTAAATAAATGACATGCAGTTCGGTGTCTAAAACAAAACATCTCCTAGCTCTTTGCAATTCTTCAAATAAAAATAATCCTTCTATTGGTGAGATGGATGCAGACAGACATGCCTTTCCTAAAGGTGTTGCAACCCATCTTGTTTCTTGTTCTGTTGTTTGTAATCTATAATATATATTCTATTAAAGAATGTCAATTATATAAAAATATTTAGTAACTTACATTACAAATTCATTATCCATTAAATATTTAATTGCATTAGTGGATAAATTTGTCATAACATCTTTTTTATTTATACTCGCTAAAGTGCAATTCATATATAATTCAAGATCAACTTTTGTATAAACCACTTCACTCGCTATGGCTTCTAAAAGTGTTCTGATTAAAGGATTAGAATCCTCCAAACAGGATTCAATAGGTTTTAATGTTGCTGACAATAAACATTCTGCTGCTTTGCGTTCATTCGGTTTACATATTAAAATACTCTCTCCTGTAAAACATTGATAAACCTCTATGTATCTTATTCTTTTTAATAAAATCATTTATGTAAAAAGAAACAAAAAATACCTGCAGTATCACTTCCCATACGACCACACCTTCCAATCATTTGTTTATACGTCAAAGTATCCAATATTTTACCACCAAACATTGGAGATCTAATAATGACTCTTCTTGCAGGTAAATTAACTCCACTACTTAACGTTGATGTTGCTATAAGAACTCTCAGAGATCCTGTTCTATAATAATACAATTGATTTGATAGTAACAACTAAAAAATTCAATTCAATTCAAGTCATGATAGAATACCTGAAGGCTCCTTCAATAACATCACGTTCATCCATTGTCAGACCAGCATGATGAAAAGCAACACCAAATGAAACTGAATTTTTCAAGGAATTATCTAACCCACATGGACAACGTTTTAATTGTTCAATAGTTTCAAGAATAGCTGTACTGTTTAATTGTTCCTTTAAAATATTACCAAGGGATGTATCTTTTTGACCTGCCAACGTTGATCATGTCATTACTTCATTTTTTATTTACTAATTTATCAATTGATTGATGTATTAAGTAATTACCTAATTTGTAAAATGTTAGGGCTACTTGATACGCTAATTTTTCGCACCAATTTTTAGTTGGACAAAATATTAAAACACTTTTACCATCAGATATAGTTTCCATACATAATTGTAAAATATCATCAGTATCCATTAATAATTCAGAAGATGATACTAAATTTCTCAGTAATTTTAATTTGTTATCATATATGCTTTTTCCAATCTGCAAATAATGAAAGAAATAAAATATATTTAAAGAACATTAATATAATATTTACTTACTTTACATTGCTCATGTAATGGTATAGGTCTGAATTCAGTTTTATACAACTCAGCATCTAACCAGTCAGCTAACAAAGTCAAATTTGGAAGTGTAGCAGACATACCAATTAATTGTATGTTAATATCATTCTTCCTATAACATTAAAATAAATAATATTTCATTGTTGACATATATAGTAATTAAAAATCATTGATAATTACCGTAATGACATATATTTTAGTTTGGTAAGTAATAATTCTAGAAGATAACCACGATTAGGATCACCCAACAAGTGCAATTCATCTATTACAATTGCACCCAACGTTGACAAATTTCCTTCTTCCATTAAATGATTAATTATAGAATTAGCTTTTTCAATAGTTGCTATGGCAATATCTGTAGCTGTAAAACCACCTGGTGGATTTATACCTCCCATAAATCCTTCAACACGAATCCCATATTCTGATAAAAGATCCTAATAGAATTCAATCATATTATTCATATTATTAATATACCCAATCTTATTGTATTCAAAATATTTACCTTAAAATAATACATTTTTTCTCTTACAACAGAAACAAATGGTAAAACAAAAATAGCTTTCTTTTTATATTCCAGCACCGTTTTTAAAAGAAGAATCTCTGAAACCAATGTTTTTCCTGCTGATGTTGGAGCTGAATATAAAATATTTTTCCTTTCGTTGATTACTTTGGAATTTGATAAACATTCTACTTGCCATTGAAACATTTCTGATATTCCTTTTGATTTATATTTCTGTAATATATGAAATTATTGTTAATATACAATTAAATGAAAAAATTATCAATTAAGTATATTTATACCTGAAGTATAAGTGATGGTAAACCCCAAGATGCTAATTTAAATCGATCTTGCGTACAAATCTTAGATACTTCCATACTTAAATTACTATTACTATTAAAACTAATAATAGCAGATGTTTTTTCTTTACAATGGGATGATAGATCAATATGATTACTTATATTAGTTGTTACATGTTGTTTAGAATTTAGACATTTTGTATGTTGATTTTTATGTTTCATGTTTTCAGTATCATTATTATCTTTACTTAATTTTTTAACACTCATATTATCTTCAACATTCTTTTCATTTGATTCAGAAATATCTGGTAAGATGTTTCTACTAGATTTGCTGTCAAAGAACATAATACTTTCTTTGAAATATTTATCAAGACTGGATTCATTTTGTAAATTTTTAGTATCGTCCAATGGTTTTGATGAGTTTTTATTACTTGATTTACTTAAATTTTTCGAAAATAATATAGTGTCTTTAAAGTATTTTTCTAAATCAGTTTCATTATGTTTCAACAGAGTGCTGTCACTTTGACTTTTTATTTTGGAATGCGTTGATGAGTTTTTTGATGATTTCATATTACCATTACTATATAAATGGTTTTGTTTTTAGAACATTAAAATATGCATATATATAAATTTATAATATAATATATTATTATATTTTTACACACACACACAATATTTGACATTTAATAAATTTGACATTTCACATTAGAATTTGATTTAAAACACACTGATAAACATTTATTATATAAATTTAATTTAAACTAATATAAGTTGCAATAAATAAGAATAAATAAATAAATAAATTAATTAACTAACGTTTATAAAATCTATAAAATACACATGATTGATTGAAATAAATATAAACTATGAATTAAGATCAAACGACATTTAAGCGGTTACAGAAAAGCGCCACCTAGCATGCGCGGGATTTTCGTGAACAACTTGCAGTCGATAACATAGATTTCAGATTTGCCTAATTACCTATGTCGGTAAAACAGTTTTATTTATTTCTCAACCCCTGAATATAGATTGCACAGTACTACAAGAATGCATATAAGGGTTGCATTGTAAAGGGTTTACTGATAGATGGAACTCATAAGCAACATTATCAACGATGTATGAAAAATAGACCAAAAAATAAAATGATTAATTTAATTTCAACAATTTTGAATTATTTCTTGATATCTGTAAATATATAAAAATGATTGAAAAACATTATAAGAGATAATTAGTTTCTATAAATTTGTTACATAAAAAGGAATCAAAAAAAGGAATAAAAAAAATTTGATAATTAGACAAATTTCATAGAAACTAATTACAATTATAATGTTTATGGTAAGCGGTCTTCGGCTGGATTTTATTTGCCATGGAATGTATAGCATATAAAAATATGTTAAACATTACATGGAAAACAAAATACCATTGCCCGGGTCTAACCACGAGGAGGTAACCGCTTCTGAAGACCCAAGAGGGATGTGCATCCTAAAGATGCCACCATCCAAATATAATTCAAAGGAAAGAACCTGACTCTTAGGCCCCACCATAAAAAATCCTTAGAATTATTTTCGGGAATACCAGAGAAAAATTTAAATACCAAAAAATACAAAATGATAAACAAGGAGTGTAACCTGAAAATAAAATCCAATAGAATCATCGATGTTAAAAGTCCATTATAAATATAACATTGAATATTTGCACTGGTTTACAAAAGATTTTAAATATGTTTTTTAATAAAATGTTTAATTTTTTTCAACATATCTTCTTCAGATTTAAGACTTCAATGGATTTACTTGTTCTTTTTTTTATTTTTATAATATTTATGTCAGACATCTCAAAAGGATTTGATTTTTTTTTTGCTTGTTTCTATGATACGAGAAAAAAATGTAGAATATTCGAAAATAATCGGTACAATTACTCAGATTTACGATTTTAGGTACAATTTATTTAGATTTTCTTGGTCGCTTAAAAAAATTACTAATTAATTATATCTATATTTATTGTGAAAGACATTTAAACGCCACCCTCGAATCAAAACTTTGACTTTTTTTTTCAATTCCCTATAGAATTCCAGATTTTCTTTCTGAAATCTGTCCCGTGTCGTTCTTACGAGTATTAAAATTAGAGTTTCTCTTGTTTCAAAATTTGACAGAAAGTATCAGGCTAGCATGACGATACAAGAGGTTCAAGAGATATTCGAGTGGAGTATGGGCGGTCCCAGAACTATAGCACTCATTGATTGGTTATTAGTTTATAAGTTTTTAGTAGATGCCTCACCTCATAGGTATTGGTCATATATTAAAAAATTAATTTATATAACTTCCAGGCATAAATTATAAACATTTAGATTCTTAGCATATTTTATAGACTTTTAAAAACAAATTCAAATCATAAGAATTTATAAAATTTGTTTAGAAATATATTATTTTTAAAAGACAAATTAACCTGTATCCGTCACTGATAGAAATATTTTTTATTCAACTTTCAGACATAAATTATAAACATTTAAAGGTTCGACATATTTTATAGATTTGTTTAAATAATATAAAATTATAAAAGTTCATAAAAAATTTTTAATTATTGAGAAATAAATTATTTAAATATGCAAATACGATCAAACTCGTGCACTGCTACTATCTAGCGTTTAAAACGTGAACTATCTTTCGTTACTTCCTCTATCATCATTACCTCCTGTTACATTTTCGTGTATTTTGATTCAAGAGACTGACCAATTTTAGACATTTATACCGGGTGAGTCATTTCAAATTGATCACCCGAAAATCTTGATTTTCATTGGTATATGAGGAAAACGTCAAAATGTATTTGATTCAAAAATACTATTTAAATGGCTCACTTCATATAAAGTAAAAATAGTGAAATAAATTTATAAATACTATTGATTTAAATTATTTCTTTTTTAAAAATTGATACGTTTAAAAAAATATACATTTAATAAAAGAAAAATATTCAGTTCATTAATTGTAGGATCATCAATGATTATTACCATTAATTTATATACATTAAAAAGATCAAGTTTATTACAAAATATACATTTTTTTTTATAGACAGATTTAGCGAAATAACATACCTGTAATTATTAAGTACTTTTTTTTCTGTATATATATATATACGCAAAAAAAAACTTTCTTTCTCTCTTTTTTGCGAATTATCCCTTATAATAATAATCTATATTATAATTATTTTAATTATTAATTCTAAAATATGTATACTTATATATATATATATATATATACGTATACATATATGTATACACGTACGTACATATACGTATGTATACATAAATGATGTTACGTTTTACAATATATAAAATAGATTTAAAGTTTTCTAATGATAGGATTAAAAGGTTTTTAAGGTAATATATATAATAGAAATAAAAATAAAAAAATATATGTTACCATTCCTAAAATTAATAACAATCTATTATATTCTCTACTAAGCTTATATTACTAATTTATTATTTCTAATTCTTAATGTAATAAAAAAGAAGCGTGTTTTTATTTGATTATCATAAAGTAATTCAATAAAGCGAATGATTAAAAAATACACATGAATTATAATAATTAAAGTATAGTATATAGCTTAATAATAATAATAATAATAATAATAATAATAATAATAATAATAATAATAATAATAATAATAATAATAAAGAAATAAGTCAACGGTTTCACCTCGTTGAAAAAAAAACTAGTTACCGTTGGATCACTAAAGTTAAACGACGATGGGCATAGTGTTAATTTTTTGAATGAATGACCACCATTTTAAAACACCGTGTACTGTTGACCCCCACAGATAGGTTCATAGAATATGCAATAAGATTTTTGTTAAGACTCCATAAACCCATTAAAGGGAAAAATTGTAATGACAATAATAAAGGAATGGTAACATATAATATATATATGTCCCACATGAATATGAAAAAGAATGTCTTCTTTATCATAAAACTATACTCTTTATTGTCCCATTTAAGAATGTAAGTAAAATCCTTAATCCTTGAAGAATATAACTCATAGATGTGATTTTTAAAATATGTCCTGGCAGGGTGTAAAATATGCAGTTTTTTTTTAAACTGCTATAAATTTTATGCTTGATTTGTTGCATCCACTTGGAAGTATTGTCTTGCGACTGCTCCTAAGACAATTTCTGCACTGAACACGCCTAAAAAATATCAAATAACATTTTCATTTTATATTGTAATTCGATATAATAGTTGAATTTGTTATCTTTAAATATTAAACTTGTTACTTACTGATATTAGCTTGTAAAACATCGGTAAGAAGATGAAGATCATTTTCATGAGTTACAATAATGTAATTTAATTTGGTACTGTTCATATCTTGTATTTGGGTAAGAGATCTTCTTGTTTTCTCCATTACACCGCCAGCACTTTCAATTATTTCTGCTATAGCCGATGGAGATGGTATAACACTAGGTGTCACGTAAAATATCTTTCCCTAAATTAAAAAAAACAAACAAATGTCAACGATTAGAAGTAAATATTTAATTAATGTGTTTTGATATTATATTAATTGTTGTATTTATTTCTTACCTTAAGTACTGTACCCCGATTAGGACTTGCTAAAACCTTTTCTATATTACAATTGAAATTATTTTCAAATTCTACATCCCCTAGAAGATATCCACTTTCATCCAAGAAAGTATTTTTCGCTGAACAATCGAGTAACCATTGTAGGGTAACAATAAATTTACATCTTGAAAGACAACACAATAATTTGACCGTACGTATCGGTGCTGACATTACGAGATGTGTTGCATCTTGCCAGGTTGCTGCTAAAGCACCTCCCAATTCTCGAATTCTCTGTACATAATAATTTGATTATTTTTTAATATTAATATCCTATATTAATATTAAAAAATAATATATTAAGTTTGATTTGATAACATTATTATTATTATTATTATTATTATTATTATTATTACCTTGGCGTGTTTTCTAGGATTAATACCAGAAAATAATATCTTCGGTTGTTTATCTGGTGGAGGTGGATCTGGATTACTAATAACTATCGGTTCATCTAAACCTAAAAGATGTGGATCCTTGTTTAACTGGGATACATCCAAACGTGGCCTTTTAGATTTTCTTATAGAATTTGGACCCTGTCCAACTTGTTGAACTTTATCGTAAGATTCTTGGGTGATATTAATCGGTACTTTCCATGCAGCTATGAAAAATAAATATCAAACGTATATACACAATTTTATTTTATTCATTTTAAATAAACGTAAGAGATTATTGTTTGTTTTATTTACCCATAATGTGTGGAACCAATGAATAATCCAATCTAAATGGATTACCAAGACTAAATTGTTGGTATTTAGGAGCATCCAATTGATGCGACGTACCAATCACCCCACAAAGAAAATCTGTTAACCATTGCGCATTTACTACTGCGGTTTGCCATTCGCGTGCCTTTTTATACTTTTGTCCATCTGGTCTAAAATTTTATTGAAAGATATAAAAAAAAATGAAATTCATTTTCAATCACAAGCTTTTTTAGTTAGTTTAATATTTTTACACACACATTGTATGTTATAATTTAAGAAATATTACCTTTTACATACGAGTAATGTATTATGTCTGGAAAAGTAACTCGTAAGTTTGGCACCTAACGCTTCCAACATATATTTAACTTTAGTTCGTTCCTCTCCTTCAAATCCGGATAACGATACAATTTGTTTAGTGCATGGAAGTTCATTTAAACCATAAGGAGTTGGAAAATGCAATGCATGCCATGGTGGTAGTACTTGTTGTTTGTTAACAACATCCGATAGCCAATAAGCACTAACACAACGTCTTCCTTCGCGTAATGCTTGTACCACCGTTGGATGCTTTTGTGTAATTGATAGAACGTGTGTAGCACGACCACAATATTGTGGTTCTACTTCTCCTCCATATTTTTCAATGACTTGTTTCCAAACTGATACTTCATTTGGACGTTGAACGTCGTATTCGACGATTACAAAAATACAGCCCAATAAAAATAAATTTGGTGGCACTGAAAATATAAAAACGAGATCCCCATTATTAGTAGTTACTTTATATAAACAAAATTATGAAAATATAATTGAGATAAGAGAAATAATAATATATACTTACGTTTTAAATTTGGATTATGCCCATAAAATTGAGCTTTAGGTTGTTGCATAACAGGAGCATATTGCATTTTCATCGGAGCACCAGCTGGTGCACCATTCGTTATGTTTCCTAAGGTTCTTCTTTGATATGCTGCTAATAGTTGTGGATCTTGGGAAGGCGGAGGCGGTGGTCTATGTTGTGCAGTCATCAATCTTAACTGACCAGCAGCGCTACCTTCTGCTGCACCACCTTGCAATCTATTGGTTAACATATTTGCTAACGCAGTCTTAGTTTTAGCATTAACAAGCTGTTGATCTGGAGAAATTTGTGTATTATTAGTTAAAGGTGTTAATGATGGTTCTTGCTGAGCTCCTTGTGGTTGTTGTTGTTGTTGTTGCTGTTGCTGCTGTTGTTGTTGCTGCTGCTGCTGTTGTTGTTGTTGTTGCTGCTGTTGCTGTTGCTGCTGTTGTTGATGTTGTTGCAAATGTTGCAATTGTTGTAGTCTCACTATTTGTTGTTTTTGCAAATGCAGCGTCGCTATTTGCTGAGGCGTTAAGGCTTGATTCTGTTGAAAAGCTTGTCCTGCCTGAGAACCTGGTGCTGCTTGTATATTTTGTCCAGCTTGTACTATAACTTGATTAGAAGAATTGATAGGTGTTAAAGCAGGAGGTTGTACTCCTGGATGCACAGGCTTCTGTCCTGGTGGTTGTGCTATTTGTGGTCTCATCATTTGTGGACGTGGTTGTTGAATCCATTGTAAACCACCTGGTTGACCAGGTTTACCAGAACTTCTTATAACAGCTATATGTGGGCCTTGTTGGGCCTGACGATTTTGTATTTGTCTTTGATATAATAAATTTCGTTGCTTTTGAATCTTTTGAATAAATTGAGCTCTTTGCTGAGGATCCATTTGTTGCAATTGTTGATGTGTTTCAGCATCTAATTGAATCAATTGTCTAGGTTGTTGAGGCGGCTGCTGAGCCCACTGTCCTCCAGGTCTTTGCGGACCAATTTGCTGTTGTTGTTGTTGCCTTTGCAACTGCAACTGATATTGTTGTTGCTGCTGTTGCCATTGTGCATCTCTTTGAACTATAAAACTTTGTTGATTTGGACCTATTATTTGTTGATTCTGTGGTTGTTGCTGTAATTGACCATCTCTTATAACAAATTGTTGCGAACTTTGAGGTGCAGATTGTTGCAACTGTTGGGATATTTGATGTATTTTTTGTTGTTGCTGCTGTTGTTGTAATATAATAAGTTGTTGTCTTTGATCAGTTGTCATTTGTTGAGGTGGTCCCTGTTGTTGTTGATTCAGCTGATGTTGTGCACTAAGTTGCTGTTGAGAAGGCAACTGCTGCAAAACAATTTGTTGTTGCTGAGACGTTAATTGTAGTTGTTGCGATTGTTGTTGCACAGGAATTTGCTGTGGCTGTTGAGGCAAATGTTGCTGTGCCTGCTGAGAAGAAAGTTGTGGTTGCTGCTGAGAAGAAAGTTGTGGTTGCTGCTGCTGTTGTTGTTGTTGTTGTTGTTGCTGTTGTTGTTGTTGTTGCTGCTGCTGCTGTTGTTGTTGTTGTTGTTGTTGCTGCTGTTGATTTATTTGTTGCTGTTGCGACAACAACTGATGTTGACTCATTTGTTTTTGCTGAACCAATAATGGCTGCTGAGATGTAAGCTGATGCTGAGATAACTGTGAATTTATTGGCTGTTGTTGAATTAATGTTTGCTGATTTAATTGTTGTTGTTGTTGAGGTGGTAATTGTGGAGGTTGCTGGGTTTGATTTAAAAGTGTTTGCTGTGTGTATGTTTGTTGCATCTGTTGCTGATGTTGATGCTGTATTATTTGATGTTGCATATTTATTTGTTGCTGCTGTTGTGAAGCCAAATCTTGTTGCATTTGTGGCGAGATCCCTTTAGTTTGGGAAATATTATTCGCTTGGGAAGCTTGAGGCATCCAATTAGTTTGATTGATAATATTTTGATCTGACATGGAAGGAACATTCGAAGGCGCATTAGATAAACTTGTGGAAGGAACAGAACGTGAAAGATGCTGTTGTTGTTGTTGTTGCTGAGGCTGCTGCTGTTGCTGCAAGCTAATTGCACTTTGCCCATTATTAGGATATGTCGCAGTCGTTGCTGTATGATTAGCATTGTTATGCGCTTGTAACACGGTAGAAGATACAGGCGGACTTGGTTGATTCCAAGGCATACGTTGTTTTAATTGTTCGAATACCGCCTTTGTTCTGTCCTGTTCTTCTTGTGCAGCGCTACTTTCAGTATCCTCATCCATGAACCCAGTAATCATTGCTGTTGAAGTATTTGGGGATGGATAAATAAGCAATCTTGGATGATACTCTATCTCGTTAACAAGGGTAGCCTTTTTATAACATTCAGTCACCCAATCAGGAGTAACGATGTGAATATGATGTCTCATTGCCGCATCATATTTCAATCCAGAAGGTTTTCCAGTTATCAAATGCGTACAATATCTGTCTAAACGTAACTGACATTTGCCGCCTTGTAAAGTTATTATTGCCCAAAGTATTTTACTATCTGCCCGACTTACTTGGGATATGCATGCTCGTACATTGGAAAATAATTGATTCTCTTCTGGAGAAAAATAACGTGTTCTGTTTACGGTTTTTTTTCCATATTAAGATTAAGGAAAAATCTAATATATAAATCATTTTTTTATTTTTTATAATGTTAGTAGAATACTAACTCTGTATAAAAAGGATACGGTAAAAGTTTATTACATTTAACAGATAATAGAATCCAATTCTGTGTAACTGCTGGTATTTCATAAAGATCCTTGGCCACAGATATATCATTTTCAAGGGCATCATAGCCAGCTATTAAGTGGGTTACAAAATCACTGAGATAGTTGGATCTTTCAGCTCCACCTTCTTGCAATAAGTTTAAGATCTATAAGTATTTAAATGACCCGTTTAATTAACTTTTTTAACAATATCGATAAACACGCGAATATATCATAACCTTTAAATTGATATATTCCAATCTAGAGAAAATTGTACAAAATGTAGACCAATAGATCGCAATTATGGATCGAGCTAAATATATCGAGATAAAAAGAATTCGATAGGTTAGTTCATATATAATAATAATAAAAATCGTTTTTAAAACGATCACATACCTTAGGATCTCCTTCACCACTTACGTAGTATTTGACATTGGCAAACAGAGCACCGTCGAGTTTTAATTCCTCAAGACCGGCTCTAATATCTCCCATTTTAATCAAATTCTTCTATAAGGTATGTTATTACTTAGATTTTACATATTGCACTTAGGATACACGAAGCATTTAATTAAAATATGACTACGCGATATTTGATAACAATAGTTAGCCGCGACGCTTTTGTTATTATTATGATTGTTAGGTTATGTCTTATACCGAGAAGGGAAACCATATAATGCATCTAATGCAACGCTGTAGAGCCACCGTCGTTTGAGATACTAGTTTACCACTGTTGGTAACCATGAAAAATAAATAACAAACAGACCTTGCAAGGTCTCTCTCTGTGTGGTTTTTTTTTTTTTTTTGGTTAAGTCTATTAACCTTAATTCATCAAATTTCCTTATTTTGGATCTTGTAATAGTTTCAATAGATTTTTCAACATTTCAATACATATATATATATAGTTTGATATTTATTCATAATATTTCATTATTAATAATTATTTTATCAAAATAACTAATTTCTAACCTATTTTTATAAATACTTTTCAATATGTACATACTTTGTTACACTATTAAAAAAAAGTCATAAATCAGCATTTCTTATTTGTAGCATACGTTCTCTAGCAGCCTTGAATTGTTCTAAGACATTTTCAACATTATTCATGAGTGCATCAACGTTATCTCTGTCAAGATATTTACTTTGAAAATTTGTCGTATTCATATTGTCGTTGTATCGATGAACAATGTTAAGATTTAGTTTAACATAACCGCTTGATACAACATTTAAATTAGATTTGTCTAACAATGCACTGTCGTGCATCAATGGAATACCACAATGTGTGATATCTTCCAGTTCATAAGTACCACCGGTAAAAAATCTACGAAGAGAATCAACGATATCCCCAGCTGGTCTCCAAGTGGGTATATTTAATTCGTGTGTACCTGGCAACAACGATATAGGTACTACTCCATACCCTTCTATGCGATATCTATATTCAAATTAATGTCATATATTATTTATAGGTTTTTTTAATAAAAGTGAGGTTAGAAAAAGTCTTGGTTAACTCTTATGATATTAACAGTAACTGTAGTCACTCGTTGTACATTCTGAGTGCTTCACTGGTGACTATAATCATCTATTGTTATTTTTTATCCATTTACAATTTGTTTAAATATCTAATATTTAATCTTTCATCTATCAAAAGGGCTAATACTTAATACATACCTAGTCCAACTATCAAGAGATGCTACACATATTAATAAAGACGGCCACTTGGTAATAGCTGCATTTTTAGTTAACACATTTAAATGCAAATCCAATAATATATCCATGATGTAATCAAAGTATGCAGTTTTATCTTTGATACGACACTTTTGTGTTCTACCAATTAATTTTTCTTTTTGTTTGGTACTCCAATCTTTAGGTAAAACGATATAATATGTTATGAATAAACCGTCATAAGTAAAATTGTGTGCAGAAACGATGTTTAGGTTTAAAAAGATTTGCAATATGTTTGGTATTGTTAATTCTATTTCGTTTGGTATCTCTGCCGCTTTGTACAACATCAGTTTTTGTATTTCCTACAAAATATTCAAATATTAGTATTTTAGTTTTCATGTAGAATCACACAGTCCAGTCAGCAGTTTGCTTGCTTGTACCATCGGTTGCAGGGTTACCCATACATATATTCTTTTTTTTACAAGCATGAGTCAAGTAATGATGTCAGTTTAGAAAGATATAAACAAGTAATATGTACATGTGTGGGTTATACCCCTTCTCCAATTTATACATGATCCAACACACTGCGAAGATTTACATTAGTGAAAGAAAGTGTTGGAAGGGAACATTCAAAGAAATATCAAAGTCAGTCAAACTTAAACCATCTACTGGTTAACATGGTCGATCATCTAAATAAATTCTATCAACAATAAACTTGACAATATTTTTAGAACATGAGGAACTTAATTAAAAAATTAACATTTTTGAATCGATTGATAAACAAGTGTCGACAAAGAAATAAATTCATTTTAGTGAATTAATTATAATATTGGTTGATTAAAAAATGTATGCAGCTCCTTATGCAATTTTATAAGAGTATAGTATTCAAGATTTGAGTATTAAACAGTGTGAAAACTGAGATTATTATAAATAAATTTAGTATATAGACAAAATGTCTTATCCACAAAGAATGATCAGACAAATATCAGAAATTTCCTATGTGGGGTACGTATTATTAATAATAATAAAATAATTATATACACATACTTGTCGTAATTCTTCACGTTGTTCTTCCAATTCCGATATAGATTGAATTTCAGAATAATGTTCTATCCAATAATCATATTTAATACCACTATCCATGGTAAGCGTGTAACATTGGTCAGAAGTAAAATCAGGATACATAGTTAAAATATGATTTACTTTGTCATATGTTATTTTGCATAATAACGTTTCCATTTCATGGTCAGTTGTATGAAACAAATCAGATTTATTTTTTCTACTTAAATCGAGTAATATATACATGGTACTACGTTCCATATAAAAATAATGATTAGAACGTATTCTGGTCTCAGTGATTTTATCATCGATAACATTTTTATTATATCTTAATGAAAATGGTTTACGATTAAGCATTTTAGGTAATGCCGATTGATTTTTAAACGACAAATAAGATTGGTAAGGCTTAGTAAGCAAATTTTCATTAGGATAATACGAATCTGTTTCCGTGTAACTGTACAAATGCGAACCTTGCACATTTTGTTCCTTTAACATTTGATGATACTTTTTTTGATAATCGTTAACACAGTTGTTTTCATCTTTGTAAAATTCTATCTCGAATGGACTGAAGATTTTCTCTTGCCATCTAAAAATACGTTCTTCTTCTTCTAAATAATTAGAATCTCTTGTATCGTTATCCGTATCAAATAAATCGGCTAGCAAAGATTTCTGTTGGGCGACTTTAACTCTGTAACAATAAACGTAGCATCAAAATACTACATAAATACTGATTCAGAGTATATAAGATCTTCAAACCAGATGGCTTCTGTTAACTTTCATGCTTTCTGTTTAATCTTTTCTCAAACATACTATTTCATTTTCCTTTAAAAATCAAACACATATATTTTTTTTCGTTCCACATTCAATTACAAAAAGAAAAAGAAAGTATGTAATCTACGTAAACGAAAATTATTTCAAGAATTTTTCATTATCCAAAAACGTTCCATTACTTTTTCCAACAAGCACGAAGTTGATAATTATTATTATTATATATTTTGTTTTTTTGTCGTGATTGGAAAATAATAAAAAAAAATATATATATATATATATATAAATTTATAATTCTTATATACACGTGTATTAGTTCTAATCGTCTAGACATCATGTAATATCGTTGATAAAATCCTTTCAAATTTCAAGGCCAACTGGGAATGTGTCCTATAGACGAATGTAACGATGTAACATAACGATCTAAGTAAATTGTTGTTAGATTTATTATTAATTATTCTTGGAAAAACATAAATTAATGAACATTTGATTGGTCAATACAAAAATGTCAATACAAATTATTATTTTATTTCAATAATAAATATTAAAAATTGGCGCCATTTATTGACCAATCCAATGCATGCATGTATAATTAATAGACACATCCATATAAATATAAATACATAATTTGTGTATGTGTGTTTATATAAATGACAGTATTGTATATACCTAATTTTAAAATTATGTATAGGTTCCTTAACTCGATAACTTGCAGCAATTTGTTTTTTTCCTTGAATATCGGACATATCGATTTTTTTTTTATAAAATCATGGAGAAAAATAATATTTAAATTTGAATTTTTTGTCTTCACTTTCTTACACAATTTAGTGTAAAAAAAAAACAAGTATAAACGTAATGCATAGGAAATAGGAAACAAAAGTATTCCTAATCGTTGCTTAGCAACGTAATAATCAAAATAAAGATAGGTGATTCATTTTGTAGTTTTATCATTTGACTTTCCTCGTTGCAATTTTTCTTTTTTTTAAAAATGCATATTTCTGTTTGCCACTAGATAATTTTCATCGTGTTTATTGTAATTAGTATGACATTATTTTTAGATTTTAATTAATTCAAATAATATTTTAATAAGAAAATGTCTAGAAAAAATATTAGTTAATACGTGAAACTACGTAAATCAAAAATAACTGTTGAAGACAATAATTATATTGTGCTATAAATGCAATGTTTTAAAAAATGAATGATAATTAGAGAATTTACTTTATCGCAGTTATTACAAAAATAAATGTGGAAATATTATTTCTGCTATTACAAATGACGTCTATAAAAAAGTAAATTTTTTTTTTTTAATTTTTCCTGTTAAAACGTGTTTTTATTATTATCTTCTATTTTGTTTGTGCTTGGTAAATAATAAGAAAAAACCAGTTTTCAATTGTAATTCTTTAATAAATTATATGCGTATATTAAATTAATTTATTCTAACATTATACGAAAATAAATAAAAAGAAATTGTTTTATTATTGGTCATTTAAGATATTTAAAAAAAAATAAATTCCATCATTTTGATTGGCCAACCGAATATGCAGCATATACAATATTATTTACAATGATTATCGTTAAATATTTATTTGTTTAAAACTTAAGAATTTTCTTGTTTTGAGCTAAGAAGTTAAGAAGAAAAAAAACTAATAAGAAAATCGCCATTAAAACCGGTTTCAAATCAACTGCATTCCTTTTGCCAATGGGGGCCTATCCCGGACCTGTACCGTTGCTTTTCTACGTTTTACGACAGATAATCTTTAAATAATTTTTAAGAATAATACAAAATAAAATTAAATGAATATCATTTTTTTAATAATTTCTATTTAATTGCAGTATATTTTTTTGTCTTCATTAATTTAATATAAATCAGTTTGTAATATGAGTAAATGGTGAAATCAAAACAACAACTGCAAAGAAAATAAAAAAATAATTATTATCAAATAACAATAATAATAATTAATAGAAAAAAAGAACAAATTTAATTTATATTTATAAAGAAATAAAAAGAGAAAAATGCATTTCCGGTGTGTTTACCCCCATCTAAACTTGAACTCGTGCACTATAAAGAGATCACATGAGTATTTACCTATCTAACGTGTTATCATCTTGTGCACACCTTTACGTTCTTAAAAAGAAATATTTAAAAAGTTCATTTTTAGTGATTTATTTTTATTTTTTTTATTGTTTTTGTTTTCTTTTTCTCTCTTTCTATTTTTTTCCTTAAGTTACGTTGTGCATAACATTTGAAAATTCGTAGAAAATAAAAAGAAATAAAAGGTTTCCTTCATTCATTCTATCGTCTATGAAGTATAATAAAAAAAAAAAAAAACAAAAAAAAAGAAAGAAAAAAAAAGAGAATTTTTATTAGACACACCTGTCGAAGGCCAAATCGAATAAACCGTACACTCCGATGATACCAATACTTGTAGTTGTGATTGCTATAGTGTTGTTTGCACCTGGTATATGTGTGTGTAACATTCGAACGTTTCTTATTTGATTTGTGGATTATACTTGAGAGAAAAATTATTGTTTTTATTATTTAAAATTTTTCTATGAAAAATTCTTCTTCCTCTTTTTCATTTTTGTTAAAAATGATGAATGAAATTTAATTGGAAAGTTACACAGTATAAACAGTTTGAAGACAATTGTTGTTCCTTTGCCACGTCTCTGTCAGGGTTATTGACACCTCACAGGTAATTATCTTATTATCTTGAATTTAGGTTTATTATTACAAAAGTTTTTGTAAATGGATTTTTAATTATTGTTTGAAATAATATTTCTCAATTGACTCGTTGTACTCGTCATCGTTGTTTCTTTCTCTTTCTTTCTTTCATTCTTGTTCTATATGTGTCTGTTTATTCTCTATAAAATTGATAAGAGATAGATTAGAAGTACACAATATAAATATTTCAACGAAGTGAGTGATATCATTGACTCAAATCATTTTCGAATTCCACTTATTATCGATGAGTCGTCATTGAACAACAAAATCCACACCTGTGAAAGTTCTTTGTATACACCTGGGAAGGTATCATTTTTAATTGGTCACAAATTTATTAGAAAATATTTGCCTCTTCTATCTTTATTTAAAATTGATACATATAATTGATTGTATCATATTGTAATATTAATTTGATTTTGTCTTCTCATTTAGAAGTTTCAAGTTGATTAGAATGGCGACCAATCAAGAAGGAGAGACCGGAATAACTATTCCTTTACAATATAATGATAGGGTAAGATACAATTTAATATTATTCAATAATATTTCTATATGAAATATTTTATTTATTATCTGTATGGTGATAAATTTCAGCATTGGAAAGGTATCTTTGAAAAATATGACCTAGATGGTGATGGTAAGATCTCGTATCAGGAATTGAAGGCTATGATACGAGGTTCTGCATATACCAATGATATTCCAACCAACGTAGTTCATATAATAATGCGTAAAGCAGATTTGGATGATTCTGGGTATTTGGAATATCCAGAATTCATTGCTATGGTATGTTGTTTTTGTATTCTTATGTATATAAAAAGAAATAGAAAACATTGAATTAGATTTCTTTGTAATTTAGATTCATAGAAAAGATATGCAAGGAGTTTTTGGTCATCTTGTACAACGTTATGTACATTCGATGGTACCTCAAAGACCAACTGCTGCACAGTATTCTCAAACCTCTGCAGATTATACAGATGGACAGTATGAAGAGGAATATAGTTGTAGGCCACCAGCAATTGCGATGATAACCATATCGATAATAGAGATTATATTATTTTTGTACGACGTTATAGAACATAAGTCACTTTCTATGGATGGTCCAGCAGCTACTTTATTTATTTATAATCCGCACAAAAGATACCAAGCTTGGAGGTATATGACATATATGTTTGTACACGTTGGGTAAGTTGTCTTCCAATATCTATGACAAAACACATTAATGAAATAACATTTAAAAGTAAGATATACAAATGTTGATTTTATTACTTAGAATTCTTCACTTGGTCGTTAACTTGTTCGTTCAAATAATGCTGGGTATACCGCTGGAAATGGTTCATAAATGGTGGAGAGTATTAATCATCTACATAGCTGGAGTGATAGCTGGATCTCTTGGAACATCGGTTTCAGATCCTACTGTTTATTTAGCAGGAGCATCTGGTGGTGTATACGCACTAATTACTGCACACGTAGCAACAATATTGATGAATTGGTCGGAAATGGAATTTGCTGGTCTTCAGTCAATAGTGTTCCTAGTTATAGCTGTAGTTGACATTGGTCAAGCAATATACAGCCGTTATGTCGAAGTAGATGTAGATAATCAAATTGGTTACGTAGCTCATTTGGCTGGTGCCTTAGCTGGACTTCTTGTCGGTATTAATGTCCTTCGTAATCTTGAAGTTAGAACTTGGGAAAAGGTTGTTTGGTGGGTCAGTATTGTTACATATACAATTCTCATGACGGCAGCTATTTTGTGGAATATTTTATATCCTTCGTATTATTCGTAATAGTTACAAAAAATAGATTATAATGTTCGTTTTTTATTTTTTTTTTTGCATATATATATATATATACATCAAATGAGTATCGTAATATTTTCATTTAAAATGAATTTTGTGTTCCAAGAACGTGCCTAATCGAGAATCAGTACAAATTAAGGAAACACTATTAAAAACTATCTTGTTAATGCCTTAAAGCGTGTTAATCAAAGAACATACGCGATAAAAAAACAAACTTATTTATAAAGAAAACTCTAATGTGCTTTAATAACTTGCTGAATTATCATAATATATACATATATATGTATATCTATTTATATAATATCATTTAAGATCGATACACACGCACAATTACAAGATGTACTGTGATATACAATGCAATTATGGGCATTGCAAAACAAGTAATCATTTACTATCATTATCAATTTTCTATTGCATATAGTATGATTACATTATCTCTCTTTCTGTCTCTCTCTCTCTCTCTATGATTAATTTTTCATTTTGTACATGTGAGAGAATGCTACCTCTTCTATGTTTCATTATTTGTCAATTTTTACGTAAACAAGTATTTTCTAACTGCTATCAAAATGTCAATTATTCATTTGGTATATCATATCGTACGTTTATGTATGAATATACGAACTTAATTATTATAATAATGTAAATTAAGAGGTGCAGTATTACTTTTTTTGTTTTCTTCTTTTTTTTCTTTTTATATATATATATATAACATAATATAATTCATGTTTTGTTGATTTATACGTAAATTGAAGTTAATTTAAACAAAGTATGATGATAAGTGGCACAATAGGTGCCTACTGTTGTCATATATATATATTATATTTAATAATATTTATAATTTTTTTTTTGGTTTATTATAATAATTAAATTATAGGCTAACGTTTCAAAAATTACATAGAAATATTTTTTGTATTTTTCATTGGCTTTCAAGATTCGTTACCTTGATGTACCTGAATTGAAAAAAAAAACATAAATAGCCATTATTTTCTTTTATTACTATACGCACACATTTAGTGCATAAGAATTTTTGTTTGACTTACGTAGTATTAATAATTTAATTATTAGTATTATATACAGGATCTCTCTTATATATGTTGACGACGCGGTAATATTTACAACCGAACCAAAAATTATAAAGTCATAATTAAGTTATAGTTTATTATGCGTCAGGATAATTAGACTTTTCATTCTTGCATAAAAAAAAAAGAAAAAGATGAAACGAAATAAAATTTTAATATCGTATTTCAATAACGTCAATAATTTAATTCATTATTTTTTATTATTCTTCATATTAAAATTTTTGTATTATGGGCTAGGAACTGTCTTTGTGTTTTTTTTACTCTTAATGCAATTATTAAAAACAAAAACGTAAAAGATAATTACATATTTTAATGTATAAATAAATTTAATCTTATGACGATGTAATAATGCAGACGTGTAGTAATTTTTTTGTTAAAACTATACAGTTTAAGAACAAAATATCAGACTTTGGTTATTCAATGAACAAAAAAACACGAACAAATGTTATTTTAAACTTGGACATTATTTCTGTACAACTATAATAGCAAGAGCTATAAAATACAGTTTATATATACATGCACACACACACTTTATTTGTGTGAAATAAACAATGATACTACATATTATGGTTGTATATTTATATAATTTAAAAAATTATATTTGTTCTAAAAATATTATTACTAATAATAATGATAATGTGTATCAGAGATACATATTTATTTTTATAAAATATAATAAATTATAATAAATTAAAAAAAAAAGGAAAACATTATATACAAATTATTGTAATATTAAAATTAAATTATTAACATTTCAAGTAACGTATTATTTTAAACAAGTTATTTATGAAATTATTTATAATAATTTATAGGTTATAAGAAAGTATTTAAATTGCATTAAATTTTTTTAAATAAACAAAACATCAAAGTTTACTTGCAAAAAATGTTAATCTTGAAGATAGTTAAAGTTTGATTTATATCGAACATATTATTTATGATTGAAACCATCAAATGTATATAAACTATTTTTCAAGCGTTACTTGGAGCTTTGAAATTGGCGCGTTGAATAATTGAAACGTCGATTTTGAAATTGGCGCATTAAACGATCGGTTTGAATTTGGTTTTGAATTTTGCCGCGTAAAATTAATGGAATGTTAATTTTCAATTTCGCGTGAAAAATTATTGATATTATCGTAATTAATCGCAGTTATGTTGTACGTTTATAAATATAAGAAGAAGAATATGGTTGTTGATCGAGTAATTAAAGGCCAACAAGGTTATGCTCATCGTTATAACGGAGGTGATTTTTATTTCAACAAAAATAACAATTTACATTGAACTATTTTGATAATAATATTATTATCGTGTATGCTACACGTGTAGTTTTATTTTTATTTTATTTTACTTTACTTTACTTTACTTACTTTAACTTTACTTTAATTTTATTTTACTTTACTTTACTTTATTTTATTTTATTTTACTTTACTTTACTTTTATTTTTTACTGTAGGCATGGTATGCTTTCGCTCGCTATTAATTGTAATAATCTGCTTATTTGTTTATTTTATTTATTTTTCTTTCGTGTATAATCAATGATGATTTTAATAATAATTCGCAATTTGAATAGCGTTGTCCTTAAATTAATAATCGCTATTGATTTATTTTCTTGTTATATTCTTCTTTCTCTTCATCTCTTTCTTGCGGTTATGGGTTTGTTGATGATTTGTGTTGTATTTATTGTTTATTGTAATAAGTTGGTAAGTAGTAGCAATATTAATGAGTAATATTATTTTTTAAAAAGCGATCTTTAAGCTTCGTACTCAATGGTTTTTTCACATTTTTTTTCTTTTCTTTTATTTTGTTTCGTTAGGTTTACAACTTTTTTCACTTTTTTCTTTTTTATTAATTATGATACAAGTATAGTCAGGAGGGAACTGAGATTTGAGTACCTCGACCTTTTTTTTTGTCTTTCTTTTCGTCTTCTTCTTCTTTTTTATTCATATTTTATATATGTATTATTTTATATGTTTATATATTTTATATATTTATATTTATATATTTATATATGTATATACAACAAGGACTTCCCGCCTTTTTGTTTTTGTTTGTTTGTTTTGTTTAAATTTAAACAGATAATCTCTCGTAATGATGATGATGGTGATTATGATTATGATTATGGTGACAATGATGACAGGTGACAGAATAGAGACATCGACCGATTTTTTTTTTATGTAATATTTTTTCTTTCCTTTCTTCTTTTCTTCAATTCGTTTTTCATTTTCATTTGAATGTTTCTTTTTTTTCTATCCTTTTTAAGAACGAGTAGGTATATCTCAATTTAAATTTCCCCGCCATTACAGTACAAGTATTTGTTTACCCCCACCACGCGGAACAGAGATATTTAATATTTCCACCTTGTACGTGTATGTGTATGTATGTTTTTTTTTAAAATACCAAATATTCGTAAATTTAATTTTTTTTAAGATCACACACACGCACTCATATACACACACACAGACATTTTTTTTCTTTTTCTCAATTATTCCTTTTTATAGTACGTGCGTATTTTTATACGATTTTGTTTTTCACACATAACGTCGACAGAATAATCGTTATTGTTATTAATAATAATAATTATTATTATTATAGTAGTAGTAATAATAATAATAATAATAATAATAATAATAATAATAATAATAATAATATAATAATAGTAATAATGATAATATTAATAATATTAATAATAAGCGTATGCTTTACACCGACATTCATCATCAATTATTTTGACTCACATACTTCTATTTTAATTACGACCAATCCCCATCGGTCGACTTTTATTATATGATCGATTTATTTTTAATCGATTTATTATTCTTCCTTCCTTTTTTTTATTATTATTATTATTTTTATTAGAAGATGGAAAATTTTCACACATACTCGATGCCCCGAGGAGAAGACGGTGAAACGCGAATAAAATTGTCTTTTYCTTACTTTTTATTTTTTTTTTTTATTTTTATTCTTTTTATTTTTATTTTTTACTCGTACTCGTCGTTGATTTTTTCATTTTGCTATTTATTTCAAAGGGGTTTTTTTTTTTTAAGTTAAGTGTGTTAATTTTTGCAAACATTTGTAAATTTAAATGAAATTTATTTATTATATTTTTTGTTATGTCTTTTCGAAGGGACAGCTATATTGTTTCGCGGTGTGTATTTTTTTTTATTTTTATTTTATTATCGAACCTCTTTTCGAAATATATTTTTTTTTATAGACTCCTCCATTTTTTCCCTTTTATTTTACTGTTTTATTAGTTCGAAATAATCTCGTTGCTGGCGATCTATTAATTTTTTGTTTTGTTTTTATTTATTATTTTATTTGGTGCTATTTCCCTACAGTGAGAGAGAGTTTTATTTTACCGTGCGATGATAACTTATCGACATTGATCGATGTGAAAGATGGTTTTTTTTTTTTCAATTTTTTTTCCCTTCTCTTTTTACAACGATCTATTTCATTATTCTTTTCGAAATGATTATTTTTAAATAATAATAATAATAATAATAATAATAATAATAATAATAATAATAATAATAATAATAAAAAAAATGAAAATGATAATGATAGAAATAAAAAAATGGCGACAAGAATAATAGGAAGACGTATTTCCAACGAATATTTTTACTCTCGATTTTACAGTCTCTGTGTTTTTCTTATCATATTTTTCTTTCTTTTTTTATTATTTTTATATTATAATTATTTAATTTTATTTTAATTATAACTTTTTTTTTTTTTTTGAAAATAATGGCAATATTTTTTTCTCTCTAATGAAACCTTTTTGAAATTTAAAAAATAGTTGATACCAATTAAATTTTTTTTTTACGGCGCGAAAAGATCATACCTACACAAGTTTTGTCAAAAAAAAAAAAAAAAACGTTTATCGAAGAAAAAAGAAAAAGAAAAAAAAGAAAAGAATTATTTACAATTATTATACAAAGTTTTTAATACAAAAATTAGTTAGTAAATTAATTAAAATTCAGCTGCCTAAAATAATATATATAGATATACAGATACAAGAGTATATTAATAATAATAATAATAATAATAATAATAATAATAATAATAATTAGAAAACTTCTCGTTACATTTTGAACACAAGAAAAAACGGTTGATCTTTTGATCGAAGCAGTAGCAATAATGGCGCGTCTCCTACGTACTCGTTTCGCGCGGTAAAATACAAACGTAGTTTAAAATTAGATTCCGACATTAATGTTGTGTTATTTTGGGAGTATCTTTTTCATCTAACAATAATAACAATAACAATAATAATAATAATCTATCGTGTGTTTTGAAAGTCCACAACGGGTGTTATCCCCAAAACAATTATTGACCGCCTTGAAAATCATAGATCTGCTGATATGGACATACAAACAACTACAAAAAGCAGTAGGGTCCTAGAAACATGGTCACATATACATGAGAAAGTTTTTTAAATACAGATATTTACGCTGTAAATGTGTCAACAATAACAGAAGAATCTGATCGTAGAATTATAAATGTTATATAAGAGAGACTGTATTTGATGGCATGTCCGTACCGGCCTTTCAGTATCACCGACTAAAATGGCCGACAAATCTGAACAAATAAAAAAAAAAAATAATAATAATAGTAACAATAGTATTTTAGAAGCAACAACTTGTGTTCGTGTCATTTCCTTTTTTTTTTGTCATTTTAAACAATGAAGAATAATTCACGTTCATTTATGGGTTTTCTTTTTTTTTCTATTTTGAATAATTAATTTTTTACCTAATTAAATGTGTGTTTACAATTTACGATTTTGAGTTACTTTTTATTTTTTTTTCTTTACTTTAATTTTTATCAAGAAAAATAATATTAAATATAGCTGAACGAAAAGTAACGATGTATGCGTGGGAGTATATATGTGTGTGTATGTTGCGTGTCATGTTTTTATAT